CCATTGCGTGGCAAGGATTCCAGGTGCCCTACTCCCCTGCTCTAACCTACTCCACCCCGCCATAGCTGCAGTTCAATGTGCCACCAAATGCCAACTGCAGCCGCATTATTAACATTTTTGTTTGTTTGTGTGTGTTTCCCCTAAGCTGGAAAATGGTGCGGCTGCAACCGCTAACAAATGGCCACAAAAATGGCGCACTTCAGAGCCAAAACCCAACCCAAACGCGGCCTCCCCTTTACCCCCTGCCTTGCACTGCTTGTTGTCAACATGTTTTCCTTTATTTTTTGTTGTGTTTCTCCTACGTTTTTTTTGTTGTAGTTTGTGGCAGGCAGCATTGTTGCACGTAGTATGCAAAAGCCGCTGCTGCTGCTGCTGTGGCCACGTAATTCACACGTTGGCCATTATTTGAGAGCCAAGCCGATCCGAAAACTATCTCTAGTGAAATTCTTCACAGAAATTCTCTTGTAATACGACAATTATAAAGCAATTAATAACCCAGAGAATTCCTCAAAAGACACACACACACAGGCACAGACAGTTGTGCAACATTGCCCCATGCCACTGCCACCAGAATGGTGGCATAACATACAGGCTGCCGTTGCCGTTGCCGCTGCTACTTGAGTTATTAAACGCATTATCATAAATACAATTGACAACTTATGACTAATGATAAGCTGGCATGCAACTTGAGGCAGGTCCGAGGCTGCTGCACGTAGACTGTGTAGCTAGCCGTGTGTGCCGGGGGGGGTAGAGGGTTGTGCGGCATGCCGCAAATAAAGTGTTAATAATATAGATGGCAGAGGCAGCGCAGTTTGCGCTTAATAATGCAGCCTGCCTCTGACTGCCTCTGTTTCTGTCAGTCACTCATTCGGCCCCCAGGACGTCAGTCAGTCCGTCAGTCAGTTGGTCTGTCAGTCCGTCAGTCGGAGTCACGCAAATGCCATAATGCCAGGCAGGGAAAAGCAAAGAAATAATTAAAACAAACAAGCGCGCAAAATGCTAAGCAGCCCAGAGACCGCTCTCGGAGCCACTGTTTCAATTTCAGGCTTCAGCTTCAGTTTTCAGCTTCGACTTCCACTTCGACTACGGGGTTTTGAGCTCCAACTAAAAACTATCAAGGTGTCTTTGAGGCGGCCAAAACTGACCTACCTGCTGAGCAGAGAGTGCCACTGCGGCGGCTCTTGGTGGTGGCTAAAACTGGAATCCGTTATAGTTTATGGCCCGCTGCGACCGCTGCTGCTGCTGCTGCTGCTGCTGCATGTTTAAACAATTTCCAATTTTGGAGCAGGTGTAAGTGTCTCAAGAGAGAGGCAAAGACTGAGACAGAGAGAGGGAGAGAGAGAGAGAGACACTTGACCGCATTTTGGAGCCGCCGCCACGCGCCTACAACAGCAACAGCAACATCTACATCGGAGCAGGTGAAAAGTCCTTGTTATATGTCTTGAGGGTAGCTCTGGCCATAAATTAAGCCACCGCCTGCAGCCAAACACACTCACACTCACACTCACGATTGTAGATACATAAATACACATGTACGAGGGGTCAAAGCAGAGGATTCCCTGGCTTCTGCGCGAGTCCTTTGCATGATTGATTGTTGGCCAGCACAGGAAGCAGCTGAATCCACTAATCGACTCCGGAATCCCCTCAGCACAAACATCATCTAGCAATCGTGGAGAGAGAGTGAGTGTCGGAGAGAGCGTTGTGTTCCTGGTGTCTCGTTTTACGCATTTACGGATTTGATTTGTCTCGATTGATAACGTGGAAAATCCCTCAACCCCTAATCCCATATCTGGGCAGCTTTTGGTGTGAATTTAATTTACCAAAGAGCTGGCAATCCTTTTTTTTCTTCTCTCTTGTGTCCTATCAAGATGGCAATGCTCTTTGAGCGCAGCGTTACCCATTGCCTTTTGTTGTACCATTCAAATGTGTTGATGATGATAATAGAAAAGGTTATGAGGAATGGGCATGGCCATGGGGTATGAGGCTGCTGCGTTGATGAGATGGCCGAAATGATAGGATCCAGCTGCTGGCTGCATTTTACTAATTGAAATTGTTGCGACAGTCCCATGCCATTCGGGACTTCACCTGTTTTCTGGCTTGCTGCTGCCTCTCTCTCTCTCTGTGTGTCTGTCTGTCATGGTCTGTCATCTTCAAATGTCCAACACGTCCGGCTAAGTGCATCGCACACATCACACATAGACAGACTTACCTACATTAATTATGTCATTCACGTCGTCGTCGTCAAGCAAAGTCGATTGCAATTAAAAGGCGCTTTCGGCGCACAAAACCAAACGGATACCCGGCTTTGGCTTTGGCTTTGGCGTTGGCTCTAGCTCTCGACTCTCTACTCGAAGCGACTCAACTCGAGGCTTTGGGGTCTAGATGGACAGGCGCTGAGAGCGTTGAGCGCTGTCAAACGCTTTTAAACTGCCATAGAAATGTCCAAAAATAGAGAGAGAGAAAGAGAGCGGGAGAGTCGGTCGGCTTTTGTGGCTTTGATCTGTCACTTTGAAGAAATCAAGCGCAGGCCAAAAACTTCAAAAAAAAAAAAACAAAAGCAAAAGCAACAAAAAACTTGCTTTTGTTGTACAGGTTGCTGTTGTTTTTGTTGTGTAGAACGTGTCAGCCGGGGACGACCAAGGGCAACCCCTGCCCCTGCCCCTGCCCCTGCCCCAACACATACGAGTCATACAACAGCAACAACAGGCAGAGCTTTCCACCAGCACGAGCTTTGCATACCGGCAACAACAACAATAAAAAAGCAACAAAAAAAGAATTGTCGTTGTTTCTTGTTGTTGTTTTTTTTCTTTCAACTTTTTTGCAACTTTAATTGCTGTGTACTCCGCGGTTGATTTATTAGCGAATTGTTTTATACACACACAAACACAAACACAAACACAGACACACATAAAATAAGATGCCAACAGCCTTCTGGTAAGGCTCAGCCTCAAATCCAAACCGTACTTCAGCTAACAGTGACTCATGCGGCTGCAGATTAACAGCAAGGCAGCAGGGTCCAGGGCCTACCCACCATTAACAGCGCTCTGTTATCGCCAACACCATCGGCAGGGGGCCCCAAAACAAATTGAAAGTTACCAATTAAAGAAGAACCCGACACTGATTTGGCACTGCCCGAAAGATGCAGCAGGTCCGCGCACTCTATAATTTAGCATGTCCAATGTGATTATTTCCCTGAGACTGGCTCTGCGGCTGCGTCTGTCCAAATTATACAAGTACAAGTACGACGATGACGACTTCATATACAATATTGTGGTGCTGGTGGTGGTGGGGGAGAGACATTTTCATTCAAAGATGAGGTGGCACGTAGCTGGTAATCGGGTTTTGTCGTTGTCGGCGCAAAAGTGTGAAGTCTCGGGACAAGCAGTAACAACATTTGATTGAGGCATTGGCCAGGGCAAATACATATATTCCACGGAACTCAAAGAAACAACCACAAGTCCAACTGTGCAACTGTTGCTCTTGTGGTTGCAACTGCAACCGCCTCTGCCCTGACTAATTTCTATAATCAGACACACGTACATATAATATCGCCACTAAAGCACTGTTATTAGGATAATCAAATGGATATTATCGCAGGCAGCGATCCAAACAACCAACCAACCGATCGATCGATCGATCGATGGATCCAAGTGAACTCAAACCAACCATCGAGCGATCATGTTCTTCTCTCTTTCGCTGATTGCTGGCGATGAAGGAATACACATAACGCGGTATACCCTTTATCGGGGAATGGGGAATTATAGCTTTGATTGGGTGCCAGATAGAGCTTTCAGAGGAGCGAGTTTGTGCATAAGTTTCCCATGAGAAAATATTCAAAGAGAAAGATTTAATTTGCAAACTCTACTTCCTTGTAGAGCATTGCCGCTTCTCCATTTACCAAAAACAATTCCAAGTTTGTTCTGCGTTGTGGCTCTTGCCTGGTCTTGATTTGTCCTAATCCATCTTGGCGTGCATTGAACTGACCTACTGTTGGCCAGGCCAGCCAGCTTTGAGTGCTGCTGATGGAGCTCCTGCTCCTACTGCTGCTGCTTTTTGTTCTTCGCTGTGGCTGCTTCATAATCAAAAATAATTTCGCATACAAACAAGCCCCAAAGGCCTGCGACTCTTTGGGGAGCTGCAGCCAGCAATATTAATGATAATAATAAGAATAAGTGCGCCCCAAACAATTGCAACATGCCTCCCCAGCACCCGCTTCGAGGATATACACTCAAACAGACAGACATAGGGGGGACTGTGTATGGGCCACGGCCAGCCTATGCCGATCGCTGTGTCCAAGCGGCAGCACTGGCGCACATAAATCTCACTTGGTGTCTGCTAAATTATACACTGCCAGACATTTAGGCTACACTTTTAGCCGAGCCCTCGCATAGGTGAGGCGGCAAACGGGGCCCCCGATCCGATCCGAGCCGATCCGAGCCGTTGATCGATCTTTTTAGCTCTGGGACAAAAGTTTAACGCGATTGTTTATGATACAAATTAAACAATTTATGACAATGCAGAAGTCCCAGCACCAGCACCAGCACCAGTCGCAGTCTCAGTCTCAGTCTCTCTGTGGCTCTCTTTGGTCTTGGCCATATGCAAAAACGGCCCGAAGGCCGCAAGCGTTGGATCGATGGTGGATCGATCGCTTGATCTTTGCTTGTGGTGTGGTCAGAGGTTCTGTGGCGGCTCGACTTGGCTCTCTCTCTCTCTCTCTCTCTGTCTGTCTCTTTGGTGTTTCATAAATTATAACGCAGCTTTTCCGCCTTGGATCGGCTTTTGCTTGGCGAAATTTGCGCGGCAGCCACAGAGCAGAGAGGGAAACCACAGGCAGGGAACAACCGCACCGTTTATTATGAATTTTTATCGCTTCTGGTCGCGGCTAAGTCAGTTAATCTTCGTTATAAATTCGGGCCATAATTGATTTAATGCAGCATTTAAGTTGATTTCTTCAGCCGCAGATTTTGTGTTTAACTTTGCGTTTTTTCTCTCTGTTGCAGCATCCCGCATGCCCTCCACACATGCCACGCCCCAAGTGTGCCGTCCGCACTTCCACACCCCGCTGAGTCCCTGGCTGACCAGCGAGCACAAGTCGTTCGCCCCCGCCAGCGCCTGGAGCATGGGACAGTTCGCCTGCCCCCAGGAGCCGCAGGTGGAGCACAAGCTGGGCCAGATGGGCCAGAGCCACCAGACGACGGCCGCCGGCCAGCATTCGTTTCCATTCCCACCGACACCGCCAAAGGATTCGACGCCCGACTCAGTACAAACCGGTCCATCCGAGTACCAGGTAAGAAACAAAAGAAAGAGAGAGTTGGATGGCAGAGTTACAAGCAAATATATCGATAACTTATCGATGAAGTTTCTTGCTTTATCCATTAGTTAATTTTGTACTTCTTCCGCCCCCTTTGCAGGCCGTTATGAACGCCTTTATGCACCAACAGGCCACGGGCTCTACCTCACTGACGGACGCCAGCTGTGCGCTGGACATCAAGCCCTCCATCCAGAATGGCAGCGCCAGCTCGAGCGGACCCGCCCCCACATCAGCGCCCAAGCAGCGCGAAGGTACTAACAGCAATAATAATAGCTCCAACTCCAGCAGCAGCCAGCAGCAGCAGCAGCAGCAGCAACAGCAGCAGCAGCAGCAAAGTGGCAGCAGCAATCCCAACAACAGCAATGCCTCCTCCTCCGCCTCCGCCTCAGCCTCTGCAGCAACCTCCTCGAACGGCCTGTTCGATGGCACCGCGCAGGCGCACTACGCGGCCTCCAATAATGCCAGCGGCAGCGCGAATGGCGGAAGCGGGGGCAGCTACGACAGCAGCAGTTACGCGTCCTACCACCACGCTGCGCAGGCGGCGCACCACCAGGCTGCGGCCGTGGCAGCGGCCAACATGTTCCAAAGTTCCTCCGTGGCGGCGGCCGCCGTGCGGCATAGTATGGGTGCAGCGGCGGCGGCAGCGGCGCACCATCATCACCACCATCACAGTGGACACCATCATCACTCTGCCTCCTCAGCGGCCAGTGCGGCCATGCACAGCATGGGCGGCAGCATGGGCGGCGGCATGGGAGGTGGCAGTGGTGCGGGCGGTAGCTCGTCATCCCTGGGCGGACACAGTGGGTCCGGCTTGGGTGGTGGTGGCGGTGGTGGCGTTGGCGGAGGACTGGATGTGAAGCCGGTGCGGACGAAGCCGAGGACGAGTGCTGGTAAGCAAGACAAAAGTTTATTTCGACATTATGCGATCTTGGTGTGGGTGAATAATCATTGTTGCTTGTTATCGATAGTTATCGATTGTACAACAAATCAATTATGTTTACCCTTTGTGTTGTGTCCAATGGAAATGGTTTACATTGCTTACAAGTGGAGAAAAATAATTTATTTTCCATTAAATTTAATTGAAAAATCAAAGATTTGATTTTCTAATCGATTACACATCGATAAATGATCGTTAGTCAATGTAAACCGCTTCCAATTGAAACACTGAATGTTTAATTTTCATTGTTTTAGTTTGTAGTTTTCATTTTGTCACCCGCCCCCCGTTACCCTTGCTTTGATTGACAAAACCCTTTGCCATTGTCGTTTCACACGCTCACGTGGGAAGCTACTCTAGAACGTCTTCCTCACTTAACTCCTGCACCACACGAAACCCGGCCCCTGTCCATGTCCATGCCCCATCCAAAAAAGAAGCAGAAGAGAGGGACACACACACAGAAGTTGCACTTGACATGTGCTCTGGAGCAGCATGCTGGCCACATTCCCGCCACTTGAGCATGTTTCCTGCTTTTGCCGGGCCGCGTAAAAATATGCAGAAAGATCCCAGCCCCAGACCATGTCCCGCTCCCTCATTGCGTATACGCGGTGTAGTCGCTTGCCATGAAATCAGCACATTACAATGACAACAACTGCAGCCAACAATGGGAGAGGAGAAGCGGCAAGCGGCAAGCGGCAACTGCGGCAACTACGGCAACTGCAACTTCAATGCTATTGTCAACGCTTTGCTTGGCTCCACTGCCTCCTCATCAATGTGGTTGCTGTATAGCTGATGCGGCTGATGTTGTTGCTGTTGTGGTTGTTAATTACTTCATGTTGCTGCTACTGCCAGTGCCACTGCCCTGGCTGATGTTTGAAAAGACCCACCACACACACACACACACAGACACACGTACAGAAGCAGCCGCATTCATTCGCATTCGCTGCGGAAGTTGAACGCCGCTGCTGCACCTGCTTTGCCGTTGCGTTTTTGCATGGCCCGACAACAACTCAACAACATCAGCAGCAAGAGCAACAGAAACAACAGGAACAACAGAAACAACGACATCTTTATAGCTTGGGCCACTTGGGCAGGCAATGCTATGCGTGAGGGTCGGAGTCGTAGTCGGAGTCGGCCAACCCCCAAAAACAAGTCGAAAGAGGCCAGCTGGCTAAGAGTAGTAGTTGTGTTAACTTTTAGTTAGTTTTAGGGGTATCCCAGGACCTTATTAGCATCACTGACAGGCGCTCTGTGTGTGACCCCAGTTGAGGGCAGATTTTGTTGTCGCGCACCCTGCTTTCATTCACCTGCAAAATGTACAAGTTACTGTTACAACACCGAGCGCACCCTGCTTCAAAGCTGCACCCACAAAAATGCAAATAGACACGTATGAGCCCCATGCTCGTGTATGTTTAATCATGACTGTATAACAGCGACCACAAATGAGGAAGCGGTACGAACACAATACGAGGGAGAAGCTGCATCTCCGCTGACAAAATGTTTTCAGATTTCATTTTATTTCATTTTCTTGGCCAGGCGACAGTTTGCTTGCTTTAACTAACCCAGCAGGAAAATACGAAATAAATAAAAAATAAACAAAAAGGTAGAGAGATGAGAAAAAAAATTGTCTGCAGCCGCATTGTTGGGTTACCTTCGTTAGGCCTGCTCCTCCAACTCCAACTCCAACTCCAACCAGCAACTTCGACTCCAACTTCGAGTCATCCTCAGAGTTGCCTCTGCCTCTGTTGCTGCTGCTGCTGCCTGTTCCCGTATTTATTTATCCTTTATCGCATCGCTTGCGATAAGTTTTTCGGGCGCAAGAACATGTGTTGCGAGTTTGTGGCTCGTTGCCACTGCCTCAGCATCAGCCAACAGCCAACAGCCAACAGCCACTGGGGATGCGACTGCGACTCGTACTGGAACTGAGGACTGAACTGAACTGGGAGACTGCCACGAATGTGCATTGAATTGATTGGATGCCATTTGGGCTTTTGTCAGGTGAAAATAAAAAATGTTGTGAATGAGCTTTAAGTAATTGATATGGGTATGGGCACTGGGCATTCCTTTGACTTCGTTCCCTGCCTGCCTTCCTGCCTTTCTGCCTGCCTCTCACTTCACTCAATCAGGGCTCTTTGGGCTTAAACAGCAGGGATGAGCCGGGGTATGGCTATAGGGTCCATTGTTCCTTTGTCCGCGACCTGACAGCTCTGGCCTCAAAATGAGGCGCTTGCCACTTATGTGTGGCATGCGCAGGATCCCATATCCCATTCCCCCCTTTAGTCTCTCTCTCTCTCTCTCTCTTGTTCGCAGCGTGTCAATTATTCATACTAGGCGCATACTTTTTATTTTGCCTTTTCGCCTTTCTGTTTACCGTTTACGTTTACGTTTATCTCTCGTTCTCGTTCTTGTTCTTGTTTTATTCCGAGTATTTTAAGCATTTTCATTTCTGAAATTTCAACAACTTTGAAACAACAACTATTTACTCACACATCCATGTGTCTTTTGTCTTGCTCACCAGTAATTGTCTCTCTATTCAAGCAAAAGCAATCTTAAACCTAACCAAGACCCACGGCCCAGCCATTAATCTGTATATTAATCCAAACAACTAATTAAAACCTGTGTGGACCAGAGACCAGAGACCAGAGAGATGTGATGTTTTGTTGGTTTGTGTCTCAGGATCTCTTGCTCTCTCTCCCACTCTCTGGTCTACGTCTACCCACATGCAACAAATTAACGAGAAAAAAGGTACAACACATAAATTCTAGACAATTATGGCCCACTGACGCCAAATGTCAAATCAAGGCAGCAACAGTTAGTTAGACCTCTAGACCCCGGGACAGCCTACAACTACAACAAGAAGCACAGCAGCAGCAGCAGCAGCGCAGCAGCAGAACAGAGAAGGCGATGCCAAATCGGGCCCTTAAAAACAGGTTCAGTTTCGGTTTCAGTTTCAGTTTTAGGTTTTTGGTTTTCGGTTATGGGTTTTTGGGACCCCAGACAATGTCACACCGTAAAACACAACAACACAGCAGAGAGAGACGAGACGAGGCAAGACCCGAAAACGGAGAAGCAGATGAGGAAGAAATACCAAAGTGTGCACAAATTTCCAAGAAATTACAAGGCAATGATGATGATGATTGTCCCTGGACCACAGTCCACGAAGCAGATCAACAGTGGGTTGGGAGGGGGGAGACAAGAAATAACAGTTATAAGCAGGCTACTAAATCATAGACCAACCTGCTACGTGGTGTGTCTGGAAAAAAACACACAAATAAATAAATAAATAAAAAATCCAGAAAAGAAAAACTGTCATGTGGTCAGAGAGGGGAGGAGGAGTGAGTAGATGGGGTGAGACTGGCCACAGGACAGGCAAATTGATACCAAAAACAAAGGAGAAGAATGAATAAAACAAAGGAGAGGAGTGTATAAAACAAAGGCTTAATGGCCATAAAACAGAGGGAGGCCCCAAGTGGTGGCATTGCCAGAGTGCTCGCCAGAAAGGATATGTACCTCATGGGCAATACGATTCCCATACCTTGTAAAAATTCTACCTTGATTTCCCACTCCCCACATTTCTCTATGCAGACTCCGTTGTCTTTTTCGGCTCCCTCCCCTTCTCGGACACTGCAGTCGTTTGCTGTGTTTTGCTCTTTTTGTGTTGTCACAGTGGGCACATTGGGTAAAAACATCATTAACACATTTGATTTATTAACTGCCGAGTGTGGATATTTATTCCTTAGGAGGAATGGAGCCCAAAAACACACACAACTTACCGGGAACTGCGCTAGAGCAAATCCATAACCAAAGAAAGCAGAACAGAAGAGTCGAGTGGAGTGGAGTGGAGTGGAGACAGCAGAACAAACAGTCAGAAGAGCAACAATAGCAAGCCACTCTTTATGGCTTAATAAGCTGCAAACGAGGGGTCGGAGGAGGCGGTGCACTCGGCAGATCTGTAAGAGGCCAGCCCATTTATGCTAAATGTTAAAGACCAACAAACACTCGACGATGGCCTTCCGTTGTTCTGTTCCTTTCTGAACGGTTCTGCTTTATGACAAACTAATAAATGCATAAAGTTTTCAATTTTCAACGGCTTCTGTTGGAGGTGCCAAGAGTGTGAGAGGCGTGTGAGAGGAAGCAGAGACACACACATATGCATATGCATATGCATGACACTGCAAAACAGTGCAAAGCAGAGAAAGAGTTATAGCTAGTCAGAAAATTGCAGTTACTTTTGGCAGAGAGAGCGAGTGCTTTTGTGTGCACCGTGGAGTGGGACATAAAAAATAGCAAACATAAATTCAATTGGAAATTTCTCAAGAAAGCACAAAACAAACATACATCTATTTTCAGACTTCAACAGTTTCGCGAAACGAAACTTTTTTTCCCTCGCATAATTTATGCGGTTTTAATTCAGGGGGTGTTGTCTGTTTGATTGGCGGCAATTTCGGCCGGGGGCCCTCTTCCTTTCCTTGGTTGGTTACGCAGTTTGCCAAACGCAAAGACAAAAGCAACAACAGAAAACGAATGCTAGCTTAGCTTAGAAGACCGAAACTTGTTGTACCCTCCTCAACTACAGTTGCTTGATTGTATAAGATCATTCAGTTAAGCGAAAAATCGGAATACCCACTCCGAGGGTATAAAAAAAGAGCACTCCCAACGGCACCCAAATGTGAGGCAATTAAAAAAGTCAAGTCGCCGCAAGTACTCAGGGAGCGATAAAAGAGAGCGAAGAGAGGAAAGCAAACACACAAAAAAGCAAAGCAGAGCAGAGCAAACTTGCGATTAAATGAAAACAAATGAACTGTTTATTTAACGCGCCTCTGGCTGTGCGCACAGGAGGGAGACAGATGGACAAAGATTACTTGACCACACGCTGTGTGACACAGAGAGAGAGAGAGTGTGAGTGGGGGTGGAAGAGGTAGTGGAAATGGAAGTAGGAGTGAGACACGCAGAGCGTTTAATTTAATTTCTTTGAAAGCTCAACAACAAAATGTTTGGCATGCCAAAGGACAGGACAGAATAGGACTCTACAGGACAGACTAGGACACGTGTGACAACATCAGCAGCTAAATCACGTGAGGCCAAACCGAACTAAGGAATAACCGTTAAAGTTCTGTCATCAAAACGCAACTGGAATTCCCCTAATGGCATTTGGGCAGGCGACGCACTTAATGAGAAGCCGACACCCGCTCGCTACCACGCTCCCTCAACCCCACCACCCCCTTTGGGTGCGGCCAGTGGGCTAATATTCAATAAAAAGTTATGCTCATGTGGCCATGTAAAAAGGCCACCGTTAATTAATTACGCCCCCTGGGTTAAGCTCCAAAAAGTAGCGTTAAATCTTTCTGTTCTCCCTTTAGCATAGCTAATGGTAACTGTCGGGGGTGTGGAAAGTGGGTTGGGGCACCACTTTTATGACTAAATTTCAATTTCAAAGCAAACAGAACCGAGACAAAGGCAAAACAAGCTAAAGCATTAAACACAAAAACCGAAATAATGAAGCCCATTTAGTGGCGTCATTAAATGAGTTGAGCAAAAGACCAGAGCAGTGAATGGGGAAGAGAAGAAGCGCAGATGGAAGAGCAAAGACAACTGTAATATGGAACGTTAATAACGCGTTACATTTGCAACTTCATCTCTCTCTCTCACCCACCCTTTCTTTATGCGTGTACTTGTGTGTCAGTGTGTGAGTGTGTGTGAGAGGCAAATCAACTTTGCTTACAAATTATGACTAAACTTATTCAAATGAGGCTGACTTACAGTTAGCCCAAAGAGAGGGAGAGCCGTCCAAGAGAGCGCGTAACTGCAGTCACTAGAACGAAGCGGCTGCGCTGCCCCGGCCTCTGTCTCTGCTACAGTCGCTGCTTAATTAAAATGTGTAAAGTCAGCAAAAGGCAAAAGTCGAAGCCCAGTGATAGAAAGAGACAGAGCGAGGGAGTTTAGCGGGGGAGACAGCGAGAGCGACAGAGGGAGACAGAGCCCGACCCCAGCGAATCCATCATTTCCGCTTCCATGCGTTTGCCCAGCAACCAAAAAAAAATGTATTAAAAAAACACGAGAGGAAAAAAACATAAAAATGACTGAGAAACAGCTGAAAATGTGGCCCTTTGTTGTTGGTGTTGCTGCAACATTGGCAAGCACAGTGCCACAAGAAAGTCTGCACACAGAATGCAGCAGATATACACTGTAAAAAAAAAACCATTACCATATACACTATATGGCAACATTCGTTTCCCATGCAAAATAATATTAAGATATGTTAAATACTAATATATTTCATAAGCTAAAATCACGTATAAGCTTTTTTCAGTGTATACAAAATAGCAAATAAGAATCGCAAACTTTTCCATCTACTGCTCCATTAATTTTGATGAATTTCTCATAATCTTCATATATTTTGTGCATTAATTTTTTGCAGAGGGTCGCGAGTGCGTGAACTGTGGCGCCACATCGACGCCACTGTGGCGACGCGACGGAACGGGACACTATCTATGCAATGCCTGTGGCCTATACTACAAGATGAACGGCCAGAATCGACCCCTGATCAAGCCAAAGCGAAGACTGGTAAGTCCTAACCTATCCATAACTTTTGGTCCGTCTATAAGTATGCCAACCCGCCGGGCTCCGTCATCAAATTAACTAATAAATTCAGCAACAGCAGAGAAAGACAGAGAGAGATTCCAGAGAGCGAGGGAGATTCCTGGGAAATCGCTGCACATGAGCATCCATCTTGGGGCACGTTTCTGTCGCCAAGGGTCATAAAAAGCAGCGTGAAAGTTATCAAATGTCATAATACTCGTACGATTCCGGGAACCGGAGAGACCCTCACAATTCCACAGTCGCACACTGATTGCATTTAGCTTGGGAAAAAATGGTTTTGATTCGGAGTCTGACTTGATAACGATCGAGGTGCATCATCATTATCACTTAGCGCACTAAAAACATAATCAGACAGCGGACAGCAGCAGTAAGAGTCGAGCATGTGTGTGGGTCTGAAGAGCAGCATCATCAGCAGCAGCAGCAACAAACTATTGGAAATATACGAGCCTATGCGTAACCCCAAGCCCGTTGCAGGCGCCAGTCAACGAAAGACTTAGGCAACGAACGCAGAACAGCGACGGGCGTAGGGGGGAGGGGGGAACCAGCACGGTTCAGCCAACCAACCACACAAAAAATTGGTCTATTAAAGATGCGTAAAAAGCAGGCAACAGCCTTAACAACCACAAACAACAACCTGAACAACCACATGAACAACCAAACTGTTAAACGCTGACTTGGCGTTGATTTTTTATTGGCATTTAAATCGTATGCATTTTGATTGCATAACATTAACATAAATAAACCATTATGGCTCCCCTCTCTGCCTCTGCCTCTGCCTATGGCCTCTCTGCCTCTCTCTCTCTTTAGCAGCTCCTCTGTGACGTGGCTCGAGAGGGAATTCCCAAGAAATTCACAGCTGGAGAGCAGCCCCAACTCCAGCTCGAGCTCAGTCCTCTGGTGGAGCCCTCTCTTTCGGTCTCTCTCCCTGTGGAGGTGGAACTGATCGAAAAGTGTTTGTTTGTTGATTTTTTCGTTGACAAAATATGCAACAAATTAAAATTTATGTGGCACTCAGCTGACTTATGGCTCTGGCTAAGGGGGTCTCTCTGCCGCTGCCACACAGCTAACCCCTCACCGCTCACCGCTCACCGCTCACCGCTCCTGCCTGCTCTTTTGCACTTCTCTTTGCTCTCTCCTTGGCGCACTTTAGTGGCACAGGATGCGGCCCATCAACATCAAATGTCCTTTAGCTGCTTGAAATGCAATTCAATTGTTTAGCTCTGCCGTTCGGCCTCTGCTCCTGCTCCTCCTCCTCCCCCCCTGAGGCTGACCATTGATTTTGTTGGCCAAAACTCTTTGGGTGGCAATTGTATTGATTCTGTATTCGTCCGCCAGTCGCCGGCGATCAGAGAGGGTCAAGATCTGTTTGAGTTTTGCATACAAAGTTGAGTGGATGCTGCACTGCTGCACCTGCCCCTCTCAGCCAGAAGGGCATTTAGGGGCGGGGAGGAGGAGGTGGCTCCAAGGATAGTCCCAGGGTAGGGGATCTCATTGTCTGCTTTGGGGCGGCCTTTAATTAACTTTCCGAATTGTATGAAAACAGTCAACAAGTCGTTACTCTTTTGCATGCAAAATTCTTTCTGTTTCCCTCTTCAGGGATCCATTGGTGGCGGTGGCTGTGGCTGTTGCTGCTGCTTTTGTTGCTGCTGCTCTGGCTGTTGCTGAAACAGAAACAGAACAATGCAAATTTTTAATTTATGTATTTTAGCCTGCAACTCAGTTTCAGTTTCAGTCGGAGTTTGAGTTTGAGCCTGAGTCTGTGAGTCTGTGAGTCTCCCTGACTTTCTGGGCCCCGTTCGCTTACATATGTTTTCCAGTTGTTTCGCTGTTGTTCTGCTTTTGTGTTGCGACCCAGCCCGGCCCCGGCCCCGGCCCGAGCCAAACCGAACTGGCTAAGCAGCCCGCTGGCAACGCAATTATTGCATTTAATTATAAGGCCCAAAAAAAGCTTTTATAAGCGTTAAAGTTTCGCTTTGTTTTCGCTTTTTTTTACCTGTCGCCCTCAGGCTCTGCGCCGTGCTATGAATGTGGCAGCCTAGCCTTTGGTTCCAGCCTTGACGGGGATTTGTCACATTTGGCAGGGCGAATGCGGGTGACCTTATAGACAGTGCAGATCGGCAGTAAACAAACTTCAATTTGTATAGCGAATATAGATAATAATCCATAAGAACATAAGAAATTGTATCACACACTTCAGCTTTTTAGTTTTTTCTTGTTCAATTATTTATTATTATCCTGTCCATTTGTCTGAAATTTGTCTTACAATCTCGTAACGCACTGTCCAGATTACGTTTTTTATAGCTATGGCTAATTGCCGATCCATGTTAAATCCGCAAGTCGACAAAGAACACAAACGTAGCTGGTCTGGGGTCAATCCGGCGGCTGCGGAGGCAAGGCGAGGCAGCTGCTCATCTCAGAGATCGTGACTTATATAAGCAGCATGTGCATATGTGTGAGTGTGTAAGGGGCGAGGGGCTTGGCGCTTGCATTTTGCATAATATTTATGCCTCAGTTGCTGCTGCCGTTGCCGCTGCTGTTGCACTTAATTTATGCGAATTTTCACACAGTAAATTGAACAAAACGACGGCCACGTCAGGCAATACAACAAAAGAAGCAAAGGAAAAATGTACAAAATATTTATTTGTATGCTTATTACATTGTCTTATGTCACAGCAAATAAAAACCACTACCAAAGCTGCCATATCCATTTAGAAATAGTTAAACAATAAACCCATCAACACTTGACACAATCGTTTATAAATGCATTTAGAAAGAAATACAAAAATAACAATCTCGAGCGTAATTAATTATTAATCCGAAGGCGTATTTCAACGCCAACAACTCAACATCCATAAACAACTATCAATAAATGATTAAATGCAGCACAGCGGGAAAGATAAAATGAAAACAAACCAAAGAAATTCAAGCCGAAGCTTTGTGACACTCTTGCATGAAATTCCAACTGGAGATAACAATTTTATGCTAAGACTGATTAAAAAATATGTGAACTTTAAGCATTTCCAAGAGTATATTGATCAACGACCTCTCAGCGGGTTGTAAAAGTTGTCTTTTAGGCAAAACAGAGATCAAACTAGATCCAGAAAGCCAGGCAGTTACCAGTCTACAAATAAGTAGAGGGAGAAAACTAATTAACACATTTTTGGGGCCAGCTGTGGAGTCTCCTCTCACCATCTGCATCATATCCATCGCATCCCATCCCCATGCTTGTTGGCGTGGGAAAATTCGCAGTTTCTGTTGTAGGCAGTGACGCTCCCAAATTGAATGCAGAAGATCCCAGAAACGAGGACCATCGATAAACGAACGACAGCCAAATCAAAACTAAAGCAAAGCAAAACAAAAAAGGAGAAGGGCTCAAAGTAAAAGTTCAATGCACGTGGCTGCTTCTTCATCAACTGCCCCAAAACGGGGCGTATACGCAATCGAGAGCATTAAGGTTTTTTTTCTCTCTCTTTTTTTTTGGTTGTGTTTTTTTTTATTGGGGCGCTAGGATCTTGTTAAGCGGGGGGCTAATGTTATTAAAATGCACTTGAAAAAACACAGAAGGCCCTGGGCCAGGGACCTGATCAGAGGGACAGGGAATGCTGCAACAGTTTGTTGCTGTTGTGGCTGCTGTGGCAGCCTCGCAGATCAATTAAAAATTAACGATATGAAGCGCAACGCAGCCAAAAGCGGGGCGTGCCCATAATAATAATGAAAGAGGCTCAAACGCAGCCTCAGAGGCAGGTCCAGCGAAAGGGTTGCCAGGCTCTCGGCAGATGATTAAGGCCCAAAGAGTTAGGGACCCATTTTATTCCTCCTTATATTTTTCGCTGGCTTGTTAAGTGGGAATTCAGAACTTGCTTTCGCTTTTCGGGCAGCGCTCCCCCCTCCGCCTCTCCTTCGGTATGCCACCCCCTAAAGAAATTTATGGTGACTGTTTAATATGCAAATGCATAATTTTGCACAGGTTTCCCCTGCTCACCATCTGAGCTACAGGGTTGCCAGTGCACTTTCTAACCCTTTTTCCCATTTTCAGACAACGAACACGCAGTCCGCGGGGTCAGGGGCTGTGGCTGTGCGCGTGTCTAGGCAACATTCATTTTGGTGGCCTGTGGCCAGTGGCCAGTGACCAGGCTCCACCTTGCCTCGTGGCTGGTTCCTTAATTTATTTGGACTGTGCCAGTGCCTAGTGCCATGGGCCTGTGTTCCTGGGCCCCACTTTCAATGGCCGGTGACAAATATTAATGACGATTCTCATGCCCTCAAATGGGACTACTGAGACTTGCGCAGGGGGATAGTCGACAGTCTGTTGCAAGTTTAGTCACTTGCATTTGTCATGCACTCAACAAAATTGATGAGATTTACCAGCTTATTGTTCGATGTTTCCGTTTGTTTTCCCCGTCACTTTCTCACTGTGTAGCTGGACCTGCAGTGGCGCCTCCTGCGAATTCCAATGTGGGACTTTAGACATGTCCAGGCGACAAGCTCGACTCAAAGAGCCTTCACCTTTGCCTTTCCATAGTCATTTCCCCCTGCAAGCTCGTAAAATTCATTGAGCAGCATTAATGAGCGACATTAATGGCTTGTTTCTGTTTGCTGGCCATAAACCATTTTATTGATTTTTTACCTCCATTCCGGCGGGCAGGTGTGATTTTTAGCAACAGTTTCGTGCCGCGACTGCGGCTGTAGCTGTGGCTGTGGCTGCGTTTCGAGCATGGAAATGAGCTAACCTGATGTTTTAATTAGTCAAATTAGCCTGAGAGCAAGGAGAGGCCAGAATAGCAGCAACTTCACACAAATACCCTTGCTTGAGTCCAATGCCGACACACGCCTCCTTTTAGGAGGTGTAAGGAACAGCTGCAGAGCCAGTAAAAGGGATAGGAAAATTATATAAAAATACCAATTGAAATGTCAGGAAATATAGAAACTGTTGAAAGATTATATTGAGATGTGGAGAACCCTAAATAAAGTCAAAATGTGATTAGATTATTCAGAAAAAGGAAACTAGAAGAGGCCTTAAAGAATGTAATAATACGAATGAAAGGTCAAAAAAAAACTAAAGAAAGGGAAGAGCAAAAAGTGCGAAGATCTAATCGGACAGACTGATACAAAAAGTACCACACAAAAAAGTAAAATTACTCAGGACGAAGTAGAACAGGACAAGGGCAGAGGGGAGTACGGTAGAATGAGGCCCACAAGGAAACATTTTCCTCTGGGCCAATAAAATTTGAATTTTTAAATTAAATTTCACAGTCAGACAAACACACACAAAGAGAGGCACCCACACAAACACACAGCAATACACATTCACCGTTATAAATGTAACTGTTATGTGCCAGACACAAGCCTCCAGCCGCCCAATTTCAGCCCGCATCAGGCCCATTTTGTTGGGGCTAGCTTCCCCTTGCTACTCCTGGCCCTACATTCCCCTTTGTACAGCATCAGATATAGAAATTTTCTGCACGCTATCTTTTTGCCATCTTTCCTGACTGTACATATCTGGGATGAAAGGGAGGGGAAGCAAAGTGTGGGCTGATGAGCTCCAAAACAACCCCCAGAAAGGGGGCGGCCATGCGCTCTAAGCCCTCGCTGAGGGTTGCCACCAGCAGAAGCAGCAGCAGCAGCAGTGGCAGTGGCAGCCGAAGCGACTGCGAAAAATTTAATGAATGTTTTGTTAGATAACGAACGAAGTAGAAAAGCGAACAAGGAAAAAAATGAGTTGATAAAATGTCCCCAACAGAGATAGAAAGAGAGATGGAGTGAGAGAGAGGGAGAGAGATTGCCTCACTCACTGCCCGCAAGTGAAAGATGTTACACTGAGATAAGACTGTTACATCTACACACTCTCTCCCTCCCACTCGCTCTAACTCTCGCTGTCCATCCCTCTTTCTCACTCTTGGCTTGCCATCTTGACTGTGTCCCGTTGCGTATCTGAGATGGCAAAGGGCATTGCCATTGCCCAGCTCAAAAGAGAGCGCACACAAAAGCTGCGCAATAAATAGAAGTGCAGAAGAAGAGCTGGCAGCTGAAGGAGTGGGCGGGAGGAGGTGGAAATATATTTACTTTGTACATATTTACTCTGGCACCCACTCCACACGACAATCAATGCTGCTGCTGCTGCTGCCACTGCTTGCCCTTCTGCGCTGAGCTTCTCTATGTTTTACTTACAATTAAATATTTAAATGTTTTTGTGTGTGTGTGTGTTCCTGAAAATGAAAACGAAATTTGCATAAAGCAACAAAAGCTCAACAGAAATATGAGAAGCAAATTGCATGAAAAAACATGAGAAGCAGCAGAAAGATATGCCAGCAGAAGCGACGACCATTCTGTGGCAATGGTCACAAAAATATATAAATCAAGTAAAGCCCAACCGAAGGTGCCAACAAAAGCAATAACAGTCAGGGGATAGAACAGTGATGGATTTGGAGAAATGCCCAGCAAGCTTCGTACTTACATCCGAGAACTTAAAGTTTGAGTCTTCCAAACAGTTGTAGGTACTTTCTTTTATGCGTTTCTCACTGTTACAAATTGTACATTAAACCCTCTTCGAGTGTCTTAAAAATCAGAATCTGTGAGAGCAAAAACTCACAGCGACAGCGAGCAACAAAACACGGAGAGCAAAAAGTCGCAGGCACTAACAATGCAAACGCATTTTGTCATGCATTGATAAATCACAATTTATGGCCACACGGCACCAACCATCATGCAACAAAAGCCACAACAAGCACACTCATGTAGCAGAGTGTACACACAGTGTAACATAAAAGTGTGAGAGTGCACACACACACAAATAAATTTCGGTGCCGTGCTTTTGTTATTAATCGCAAGCGCCATCTTGTTTTGTATGATTGTTGCTTTTGTTGTTTTGGCGCTTGCGCTTTTTGCATTTCAATTAAACCCCAAACGCCTGTCAATGTCTGACAGTTTGTCAATTTTTCCCCATCATCTCCTCCTCTCTCTCTCTCTCCCTCAAACACCCTCTTTGCTTCGATTGCATTGACATTGATTTATGTGATTTGCTTTGTAATTCCTGTTGAGGTTATGTTTGCATTTGTGAGGTTATGTTTGGCTGAAATTGAGGTTATGTTGCCTGCTCTGTAGGTTAGGGCGGACAAGCCTGATTGAATTGACACTGTGTTGGCCAACAGAAGTTGCACGCCCACCATCCCAAATCGAAACCAGTTGCAATGGGAATGGGAATGGAATGCGATCCGGCGATCCTGTTTGTCACTCTATCTCTGTACCTCTCCTTCTCTCAGTTTCTGTGGTGTTTTGTTGCATTGTCATGTTAACAACTTAATTTATATACGCTTAAGCATTTTGGCCATGTCCTCGCTAAAGTCTGCACCAAGAGTCCTCACATAATTACCAGTCTGAATCTCTGTGTCTCTCACTATCCTTCTCTTTCCCGCCTTGTAGGCGTTGAAATTAATTTTGAATTTCTCACTTTTTCGCATTTGGTTGAAAATGTTACAAGCTCGTTAACACAAGACAGTGCCACCAAAAAAAAAGCAAACAAAAACAGAAAAAATAAAAATGCAGACACCCAAAGCAAAAGCAATACCAGACCAAAGCAAAGATAAAGATATAGAGGGGCAGATAGAGAGGGGGCCCTTGCCATATGACCTCTGATTTATGTTAATCTCCAAATCGAGAACAGGTGAGACACAGAGCTAAACAGATCGAGATCGAGATCAGACCAGACCAGAGCTGAAGCTGAAGCTGTAGCTGTGTTGCTGGAACTGGAACTGGGGCTTTGGTTGGGTTGAGCTGGAGCTGGAGCTGAGGCAGAGGCAACAATTAAAAATCAAAGTCAAACATGATCAACGCCAGTTTAAGGCCTCGTAGCCATGTGTTGTACCAGCAGCCCGAACAAGCCCCACCAACTGGATGTCTGGAAGGGTATACACTCGTATGTACTCGTACCACAGCACGTTGTGATGCAGGGGGCACGGGACATGGGGTACGCTATAACGAAGACCAAAACGCAGACAAAGTTTGTGCCACAGAGTGTGCTGCTGCCGCTGCTGCTGCTGCTGGGGCACTAGGGAGTGGGGCGATCCAAGAGGGAACTCTGTTGGGTTTTTGGGCTCTTCGTTCTTCGTTCTCCGCTCTCGTGGGTTCTTTTGGTTCTTCTGAGTTCTTGTAGCCAATTCGTGGAAATTTAAGCGTGGCACAGACATGATCCCTCCTTGTTGCTGTTGCTGTTGCTGTTGTTGTTGCTGCTGTTGTTTTTGGGCAGTTTTGTAAAAATTGTCATTTTAATGAATTGATGCTGCTGTTAACCCAAGTCGAAGGCCCCAGTTTGGGTCCAGCCTCGAGTTGGAGTTGAACCTGGGGAGGCAGAGGAGCTATGGAGTGAGGGTTTGGGTTTGCTTTTGGTATGCCATCTGAAAAATGCTGTTGCCTGGCGTGTTGAGCAACTTTGTTTGGGATCTGGTCAGAGGTAGAGTGGTTATGTGTGGGTACGGGCACTGTGCGTTAGTTTTGGCGCTGTTCAATTAGCTGATCGACTGCATTAGCAAAATCAATTTTGGAGGAAGTAGCTTAACCAGCGGATATCCTTTAGTAACCCTTTATTTTCTATTTCTATTTTCCAGACACTGCAGTCCCTGCAGAGTGCGGCCAAGCGGGCGGGCACATCCTGCGCCAATTGCAAGACCACAACCACAACCCTTTGGCGGCGCAACGCCAGCGGCGAGCCCGTCTGCAACGCCTGCGGATTGTACTACAAGCTGCACAATGTAAGTAAAACTTTCATCCACAGACCACTGGTCATCGGAACTATTAGAAATAAAGAGAGACCAGCCCGCCACCCCCATCCTCATCCAACAGGAGCTTCATCGATTTACGATTTAAGAGATTTCATGCCACATTTAACCCCCCTTGCCACCCAGGACCACTCCATAAGTGTCGGACGGGAACACAGATTAAATGTGACAAAAATGAAGTGTCCTCCCACCCGGGGGGTGGCCTTTCCGTTTAGCTTCTTCATTTGTTGCCCCAGCAGGTTGCACCCCTCATGATGAATGGCTGATGATTATTTAAAGATGCCAGTTAGCCAACCAACCAACCCACGAACCACCCTCTCAACGCGCAGCGCACACCCCTGCGACTGCGATAAGCGTCTGGTCTCTGGTGTTTGGCTGTGAAAATGCGATAAGCTTTTCCCAGATTTCAGTTATGGGCAACGCGTGGCAGGATGCACAGACCATCTCCCCCTTTTAGCTACAAATCGGGGTAATTTATGTAATCGAGCACCAGCTAAACTGCATTGGATTGAATAATGTTATGTCAGATTCCGGGCGCCAACCCCCAGCCCTGCACTCTTATTAAATATTCATTAGCCACGCTTTTCAGGAGATAAGCTCGAGTTTTTCTTCGTCTGCTCTTTCCCTTCTACCTTATTCTTTAGGTTTTTCTATCTTCCTTTTTTCTAAAACTTTGGGCTTCCCCGCGGCAAGTTTTTAATGAGTTTTGCGGCTGAACTTTTGGCACATTTACATGTCAGTGGCCCCTAAGTGATGGGCCACCTGTCCTTGTCTGGCCCCACTGTCTCTCCGGCTGGGAAAACTAATTAAGTTGCGGCCTGCCGCCTGCCACTTGCCACTTTCCACATGGGGGGAAAACTGCACTTCGATGGCTATCGGCAAAGGCGAAATATTTTTAATTGAGCTCGGCCATAAAAGGCAAATATCAAAGAGTGCTCCATTTTCGCTAATCTGATTTGAGACTGCGGGAAGAGAGAAGAAAAAAAACACAGCAAGCAAACTTTGCAACGTGCCACATGCGGCATATGTATGCACTTTGGGTGGCTTTTTCTTACAGCGAAAAGTATTTTTGCGAGCATTTTCCCGTCAATTGGACAGTGGCCCATCGCGATAAGATGCCAATCAGCGCACATTTTTGTAGCTATTTCTATCCCCCTCTCTCGCGCGGTCTGCCTGTATCGTATTGCTGCCTCTTTTTGTCGCGCAGTTCATTTCAATTCAATTCGTTTGCTATTCGGCCCGGTCGCCTGTGTGGGCCTCTCTCTTCAAGCCCAAGTGATTGGCACATTTTATGGAAATGTTGCCGTACAGTGGGTACTGGCAAGCAGCACTTTCCCCTCACATCCCCAGCTGTATTCCCCTATAGGCAGTGCGAGTGTGCTCTTCTTCATACGCTTTCCGCACACTTGCTAAATCTTCTGGCTGTTATCTGCCATCTGCTGGCAGTTCCTTGGAACTGCGAGCCTCATCATGTTAATTAACAGCAAATGAGACAATTGCTGAGCATCGCCCGATAATCTTTATGTCTGCTTATCGCGAGGAGCACAAGAGAGAGATTCGCTGCCCGCTGTGCACCGGCTGGGAGAGTGTGTGTCCAGGACAATAACTCATAAAGGTGACCTAACGGTGCCCGGTGCGCCGACAGGCCTGCAGCCTGGCGCCGTCTCGCTCTGACCCGACCCCCACCTACACACGTCTCACACAATTTGCCGACAACAGGCCAGTGTCTCTGTCTCGCTACTTGTTTGCATCGGGCTTGCATTCTGTGTGTGTGTGTGTGGATGGTGGATGTGATGTGGGTGGGCTGCTGTCACATTGCAAGTCAACTGCAGCGGCGCGTGTGTGCGCTCCACGCTCGATTTAGATTTTATGCATAAAAAAAGTTAATCTGCAGATGCTTCAGATATTGCTGCTGCTGCTCCTCGGAGTGAATTTTCCTGTGAATTCCCTAATGATCAGGGCCTGTGTGCATTAACAACTTTATGCTTTGTTGCTGCATATCAATTAAAGCTTAAGCCCAGCTGCCGACTTGCTAATTGCCACAATTTGCGCTAAACGCTAGAGAGACTATCAATTACGTGGGCTGTGCCGTGCCGCCGCTGCCGATCTCGCTAAGTGATCTTGATACATTTTTTGTTCAACGTTTGAATACTACTCCACTCCCCTTTCCTCATCCGACTCTGTAAGTGATACGTTTGTTGGGACAATCATGATCAACCCTCCGAAATGCACTCAAATCTCGGCTCTTCAGAACTCTCTTTTTCTATGTCCCGGCAATTTAACAATTTCTCAGTGTTTGCTTTTGCAAGGACAGAAAAAAAAGGCACAAACAATATCGTATAATTCACGCCCAGGTAAGGGAGAGCCGCAGCAGCAGCCCTACTCTGCCTCTCTTTGCCGCTTCCTCTTTGTAATGTTACATTTCTTTCTTCCTTTTGTCATTGCTTCTGCTCTGCTGCTGCGGAGTATCAGCTCCTCCTTTTGCTCTGCTGCCGTTGATATACCCTTGCAGGGGATATTAGGATTTTAAACAAATTGTTTGAAACATCGAAGAGTATGTTGATCAGCCTTGTGTCCCTGGTGGGGAATAGTCTGAAACTGAGAACAAAAACTCATATTTGTTATACTGTTATATTTGAATATAACTGCCATAGGAACATTGACTATGCTAGGGTATCAAAGCTTCGGTTAGAGCCTTCTGCTGCTCCTGCTGGCTCTTCCGCTGGTGTTGTTGCTGGGAATAGGGTAACTCAATATTGTAATTGTAGCGCAATGAAGCGCATGCTGCCGCTTAGATGTTCGCAAGTGATAAGCCATTGCATATGAAGAGAGGCCAGCAGCAGCAGCAGCAACAATGGCATTGGCCAAGGGAAGACTACGACAACAGCAGCAGCGCTGTAGCGAAAGAGAGCACAGAGAGGGAGAGGACAGACAAAAAAAAAGTTGCCCGGGTGCCGTTGGGAGCGCTTATCAGCGCCAACTAATCGCATTCGCAAATGTCGCTTATCTGATCGTGTAGAAATGCTTGTAATACTTCATTTTCACTTCCCGGTTGCACTCACACAAGCACACAAACACTCACACATCCGCGCACACAAACGTAGCACCCCCAACTCCTGTTGGCAGTTGCAACTGCAACAGACAGCGTGTGCAGCTAGCGGCATTTCCGGTCCATGAATTTGCATAAATTTGACCCATTTTAGTGGTCAGACACCGAGTTTTTTTTCCTTTATTGATTTTCCCGCACAAAATTTTTCACCTCTTTTTTTCCCCCTACGCTTTACAGGTCAATCGTCCGCTCACCATGAAGAAGGAGGGCATACAGACGCGTAACCGCAAACTGAGCTCCAAGTCCAAGAAGAAGAAGGGCCTGGGCGGCGGCTGTCTGCCGATGGGCGGCCATCTGGGCATGGGCGACTTCAAGCCACTGGACCCCTCGAAGGGCTTTGGCGGCGGCTTCTCTGCCTCCATGGGTAAGCATAATCTCTGCTGCTGCTGCTGCTGCTGGTGCTGGTGCTGGTGCTGCAGCTGCATCTGCAGCGCCAATTAAACGGTTGTCACTCATACTAACGCCTGTTCTCTTTATTTGCTTCTCTCTCGCTCTCTTTCTCTCTGTTTAGCGCAACATGGACACCTTTCGAGTGGATTGCATCCGGCGCATGCGCATATGCATGGCAGCTGGTATACCGGCGGCATGGGGGCCTTGGGAGCGTCAAGTGGCCTGCAGGGCGGCTTTTCCACCGCTGGTTCTCTCGGCGGCGGTGTTGTGCCCCACTCGCAGCCCTATCACTTGGGACTCAGCTCAATGGTGAGTACTACTGAAGAGGAGCAGCTTAAAACACTCAAGGTTTCGACAAAGCTCTGCCTTGCGAGTGGATTCCATTGAGAGCTTTCTTACTAAAGTTTTACTATCTTTCTGCTCTCTCTCTCCGTCTCTCTTGTAGGGCACCTGGCGCACAGACTATACGTGATGGAGCGGTAATAACTTGAACAATAATCTGTTCAGTTAATGCCACAAATGAGAAACAAACCAGATGCAACAAATACAACAAACACAATGCCAAACTGAGGACTCCTTGACAGCCAGCCCTGGACAGCCCGTTCGCTATTAGCACTTGAGATCCACATTCCCACATGTACATTTGCATGTGTGGATGGTACATAAGTACTTACATATGTGCGGGTGTGCGAGTATGACAGTGATGCCCAGGCGCTGGTTTTTCCTAATTGTAAACATTGCGTGCAATTTTTAATTATTTAAGCTTTCGTTTTGTTGCTGTCGAACCGGACCGGACTCCGAGCCGAGTGAAGCCGGCAGCAATAACAAAAAAAATCCCCCATTAAAATTAATTAAAGGGCTGCACATTTATTTGTATTTTATTTTCGCCTTTATGGCTTCTCTGTTTCATATTTCGCTTAATTAATTTAGTTTCTCTCAGCGTATTCAATTGTGCTTTATGAACTGCCATAAAAAAACAAAACAAAACAGAAACCGAAACGAGAGGGAGAGGGAGAGGGACAGAGGAAGTTTCATAAATATTTATTGTGTATATACATATAAAAAAGAGAAGAAAAATCAAGCACATAGAGAACTAAACAAAATTTTGCTAAAAACAAAAAAGCAGACAAACACCGTTACAACGCACGTCCAAAAGAAGAGAAGAGAAAAGAAGTTTTGTAAAGTAAAAGTTGAAAAAAAAACGAAAGACGATTGTCCTAATTCGCGGAATGCAATTGAAAATTGCACGAAATACTTTATAGCGTATGCCTACTGTAAACTAGTTAAATTCTTAGACTCTAAACAAAACAGACGTGATAAACAAAAAATGAAAATCTATCTATATACATATATAAATATTCACTAGGGAGCGCCCTTAGCCATTGTAAAATAAATTTAATAACAAAAAAAACTAAAACAGAAAGCAAATCTATAAATATTTCAAAGAGCCAGGGCCGCACCCAACTTTTAACTAACAAGAAACACACACACTTAAATGTTCAATGTTTAAACCTAAGTCTTAAAAATATAAACACAACACACATTAATGCATAGAAATAAACATAAAGTACTAAATTTAATTAAATTAAATTAAATGTTAAAGGCAATTTGTAAAATACATTTGTTAGCAATTTTTGTATAATTTTAGCAAAAGCCAGAAAAAGCGAAAACCTAAAACATGAAAAGAAAAAAATAAGAGCAAATCCTAACCCTAAGTTCTGTGTAAAAAGCCGGTTTAGTCGTAACCCTAATTTATGTCCCCCACTACGATATACACAACTATATATATATAGAGCTATAAATATGTATTATAAGCGATAAATGTATTGTAATTTGGCCATATTGATAGTTGAATATACACAAAAACCAAGAAAGATAATGTTTATTTAAAATCGAAAAACAAAACAAAAATCAAATGGAAAATTGTACTAAACTTAATGGCAATCACCAGAAAAATCCAGCAAAAAAAATCATAAAAATAAATAAAAGTAATTTATGAAGAAACAAATATACATAAAATACAAAAAATACAAAATCAAACGATTCTAATTGAGAACGGTAACTGAAGATGATTAATTGCCGGCGGATGAGTGGACACAAAATCGAAATTGGTTTGGTAACAAATCCCCCCTGAGCTCGGCCCCAGAATGATGTCTTCATAATGGCCATTTATGCTCATGAATCGGTCTTTAAATTTCGATGCGTCTTCGGTACACCAGAAACGTGCTTCAATTGGGTTTCTGTTCTTCTTGTGCTGTTTGGGGTTTGGTTCGATTCTCTTCTGTTCTGTGTTGATCATTTGTTATGCAGCATTTGTTGCTGGCCATTGAACGCTTGAATTATGAGTTGTTTGGAGGCGTGAAATGGCATGTTCTGCCACAAGAACAGCGCCGCAGAGCACACACCAGTGCTACTCAGCAGAGGCCAAGTTTGTTGCCTAAGTCTTTTGTACTTCAATTTGAATGCGCAGTCCAGACGAAAGCTGAGAAAACTCAAGTTCTAGCTCCCAAAAACCTGATCGAGACAGAATCAAACTATGGGAACTCCACTCAGATCTGTAAATTGTGTCATCAACATGACAAACGCGTGTCTGCTAGCCATTACAGCCCCTAACCAGCCGAGCAATATGCAATGATGACCCCATTAGGCTTTTGTCGCCCCTGCATCCGTTTCCGCTGCACCTTGCCAAAGGTTTTTTGTTCGCGATTATCAATTTTCCCAATTGCAAACAATAATATGAATACGCAGCTATCGGCCGCGTATATCTCATATATCTCATGGCAATGCAGTAATTGGGACAGCAATTAAGTGCACGGCAGGGCACTGCGAAGCCAAAAGGCAGCCAAGCAAGTCCGTATTGTTCAGTTATTGAGGCATATATATCTTTGGATGGACAGTGCAGGGAGTTAGTGAAATTATTGTACGAAAAGTCAAACTTATCAGAGGATGGGAAACCATTAAAATATCGCAGAATCTTTACGATTTTTTGATGAACGAAATGGAAATGATGTTTGCTCTTAGCTCAATGTAAGTATTTCTACCATTTGTTCGTTTCAATTAACATTAAGCTCCAGTAATATGGAAGCTCAATCAATTTCTAGATTGAGAAAGTCACATGCACTACGAAAATAATTCGTTTTAATGTCTAATTTATACTCAATGCCCAGAATATACTTCATAGCTTAATGGAAACTTACTAAGCTAAAAATTGTTATCCAAATCAATTCCCTACAACACTGAAACGCTGTGTCTACATACGAGTCCTACAATTGTACTTGAATACTATTCCGCATTCATCTGATTCGTGAGCATCACATGACCACTGCGTGCTAGGCACAGTCCGTCCGTCGGCTCTCTGCCATTACAGACCAACAAAGTTGCTGCCCAAAAACAAAACAAAGGTAGGTACATGCATATGTATAATTGCTAAATAATTACTATATAATTGAAACAAAATAAGTCATTCGAGGCAGAGCCTTGGCAATTACCCTCCCACCACTCCGCACACACAAACACAACAGACAGACAGACACAATTCACATATGTCACGGGCCAATTGTAACAGTTATAGCCGTACTAACTGTAATAGTAACTCCCACTCCAGTCCATCATTTGGCCAAGTGCGGTGATCAATGCATAGGCAATGACCAGCCATATAAATCAGTTAATCAGCATCACAGATAAGCCCGGAACTATGTCCAGCCAATGGGAAACCATTCACACACAGGCAGACAGCGAGTGAGAGAGAGTGAGGAAGGGGCACAGACATGGGATGATAATGGGGCACGCCATCTGAAACCAGTTGGAGAACATGCCACCAACGACATAAATAAACCACACAAAATATGAGCATAAATCAATGGGTTCGGTTTTGGTTCTGTGTTGGGATCGGACTTCGTTCGGGGTGGATAGATGGGTATTAGGGAAAACTCTTGTCTGTGATGGTCCCATCAAATGTTATTCGGAGCCACATGCATTAACTAATTAGTAGAGGTTCGACAGCCACAAGAACAACAAAACTGACAGGAATGTGAAAATTATGCGGCCTTAACTTTGTTTAGTTTTCTTTAAATGAAGATTTAACCGAGTTAAATGAGTTTAACAGCTTTAGAGAGGTTAAGGGCGGAGCTCGATTGTAAATTGTAAGTCGATGGAAACTGATTTTCAATGATTGCAAAGTAGATTCTAGGGATTGTACAAGATATTTTGAGTTCAGCCTATAAATGTCTGTCTGTAGTAGAGCGACTGGCCATTATATTTTAAACAATTTGTTCATAGTTCAAATCAAGAATAACTATACAAATCTGAAAAATCCTTCAATTCCCACATAATTGATAGAGAAACTTTAACGAAATATTCTGAAATTGTCATTGCTCCAACAATTTCCATAAACGATGAACAAATACATTTGAATTAATTGAATTGAGTAAATCTATGATTGAACATTTCTGTTGGAGCCTAACAGCCGACTCCTCGCTGTCTGGTCAAAGACCAAGACAACAGCAAATATTTGGTCATGCATTAACTAATTAGTGGCAACAGCGATAGGGAGTCGGATTGGGGATGGACAGAGTGGAGGAGTTCCCATTCCTTTGCTTTGACAATGTCCATTTCCTCATTGTATCCTGGCCCTGCTCTCTCTCTCTCTCTATCTTTATCGTTCCCTCTCTCGCCCTTACTCTGCTTTTGTATCCGTAGTTCTGACTCTGACTCTGTTTCTGTTTCAGTTCGTGCGTTTTGGTCTGCGTGTTTATCTGATTGGAAATGTGCACCCAACAATGGCGACACACACACACAGATACGCACGCACACATAACGAACATACAGGGACACTTCTTTAGATGATTAGCAGCGATAGTCCTTGGAAATAGCTTTTACCATTGGGAGTGCGAGTGCCATTGGAGTCGATTTAAATGAATTTTAATACGAACAGGAGCGAGAGCCGGAGCCTCGATTGCAATTCAATTTAGATGGAAACAAACATTATAATCTGTGGGCCAATTTCCATTAGCCGTATTTATCATTGGCCGACCGAGAGCTCATCAATGCCCGGCCAACTGGCAAATGTAATTGCATCTCCATTCAATATTTTCTACAATAGCCTGCCGCAATTTCAATTAAATTTCAGTTATCACACAGATACACACACACACACTCGCACAGTGGCAGCAGCAGAGCTGGAGCTTAGCCCAACGATGGTTTGACTCCGATAGCAGCTACAACTCATTGCTCTAATTAGAATTATTCTAATGAAATTAAATTGCACAAATTGCATTTGCACTTGCACAAACAGATACTCGCAGGGCTGGGGGAGGGCTGTAAATTAATTATAGAAATTGCCAGATCTCCATATGCTCCCATTTGCCTCAGCAACTTTGTCATAATTTGCTCCACACACACACACACACACACACACACACACACAATCAACTGATTAACCAAATGAGCTTCTGCTCTGCATGCCCCAAACAATCTCATTCCATTACAGTTCTCAGCTAATTTGATTAAATTAGGCATGCATCGGCCACTGCCACTGCCACTGCCAATGGGCCTGTAACTGCATCTGCAAAACTGGCCAATGCAATGTCATCACATGTCCAACTCCCAGCTCCAAACATGGCCCTGCCTGGGTCTGGTCCTGGTCCTGGTCATGGTCCCAGTTCTGGGCCTGGTCATATCAAATGCTTAATGGCAACGGCCCATGTCAATTCGTGGCATATTAAATAGGAAAATTGGCATTGGCAATTGCAACAGATATTAGTTACCTCGTTTTCCTGGCCAAATCATGAGTGCAGGGGAGCTGCAGAGCTGGCCAAGAGGGAGTGTGTAGGTAGGCCTACGACCATAACAGTGCCGGCCACAAAATGATGTCACAGTGGGGCTGACATTATTATGAATTCCGCTAAACAGTTTTGAACTTATTCAATGATTTCTCCACTCTTAACCTATTGAAATGTATTTTTTATACAAATTTAAATCCAACCTATAACTTTTCTGGAATATTTCTAGCATTATTTTGATGTTTCCAAAGTGTTTGTTAATTTTAAGAAGTTTTTGTTCCACTGTGGCCAGCCGGCGCTATCTGGGAGTGCGATCAATTTGTCGCTTGATTGTGTGCGTTTTTGCATGGCACATGCAATGAGCCTTCCTTTTAAGCCCCACTCCAGCCACTCGGCCCGTAGCCGTAGCCATAGCCGGACCTGAAGTTGGTCCTGAAGATGGAGATGACTGTGGAGATGGCTGTGGCTCCGACTGTGGCTGTGGAGAGGTTATTTGGCCTTTGGGTTAGTTGTTGACAACCAGGCACTGGCCATATTTGTGTATTATTGTTAAAAAAAATACAAAACAAAACAAACAAACACAAAAAAAAAAGAGAAAAGAAAAGACACAAACAAGGAGGCAAAAGAAGTGCCTGGCAA